TCGAAGGGTTCCCCTAAACCCTAAACCCTGAACCCTAAACCCTGAACCCTAAACCCTAAATCCTAAACCCTAAACCCTCAACCCTAAACCCTCAACCCTAAACCCTGAGGGTTCCTTTAAGGGGTTCCTTTTAGGCTCCTTTTACGGGATGCATCAGGGTTCCAATCCTCGGCAAGGCGAGGATTATAAGGCTTTGAACTAGGGCTTTAGGGTCTTTAGGGGGTTTAGGAGTTTCGGGTTCAGGGCTTTAGGGGTTTTAGGGTAGGGCTTTGGGATTTTACGGTTCGGCTCTGAGTTTCCTCAGTATCCCCAGCTGAGTTGCCAAGCTCGCTTTCCCCGGTTAGCCGTACTTCTCGATTAAAAACGCCCCCTGCTACTAAGCCGAAATCACACATAATACATGCAGCTGTTTCCTATTAATCGGGGGGCCTAGCACGAAGTTAGAACTGAATCCCAAGCCGAAACCCCAAACCCCCAAAGGAATGCGAACCTGAGTAGGCAGCGAACTGTCCCGAAGAACGGATTCACAAACCAACTGGCCGCAGCTCGGCTCACAAACTTGAATTCAGGGGTTTAGGGGTTCAGGGTTTTAGGGGTCCAGGGCAGAGGCTTTAGGGATCAGCATAACATGGAAGGGCCGGGCGACATGAATGACTGGGACTTATGATAAAGACTCACTCGTAAGCAACAAAGCGCTAAGCCTCCAAGCAAACTACGCCACGCTTCACAACCCCATCTCCTTACCCTGGCTTTCGAAGTGCCTGCCCAAACTCGAACATGACACCAGGAAATAAACAAAATCCAAGAGTCTGAAGCCCCTGGCCCTATGGAGAAGGTCTTCTGTTTAGGGGTCTTTCTAGTGCGGTTTAGGGTTTCGTTTCTTACACTCGCACAGAACGCCATGAACCCTCGATCCCGTGCGGAATCACGACACGGAAAGAACCGGATACTGACTTCCTTTTGCTCACTGAAATCTGCCTCTGTTCATATACTCAAGCACGCTTTCTTCGAAGCTAGACTATTCCTTAGCCTCAGGAGTTTAGTTTTCAGGGTTTAGGCTTGAGGGTTGCAGCTACACCTATGGAGTTCAAGGCTTAGGGTTTAGGCTTCAGGGTTGCAGCTACACCTATCAACCTTAAACCCTAAACCTGCATCAAGGGCTTAAGCCTTTCTTCGAAGCTTGCTGGAGCACTCAGACCCCATCGCCCGATCAGATCTTGTTGCTGGCTTCTTTGAAGACCTTTGTTCGAGGGTTCGGATCCGTGAGTGGGGTTGAAAGAAGCTATGGAAAGAAGGTATCACGGTCTATGAGGGTTGACACTTCAGGGTCGCAGCTACACCTATGAACCTTAAGCCCTAAACCTGCATCAGACGTTTAGGCTTTATAGGCTTTAGGGTTTAGGGTTTCGGGTTTAGGACGGCATCATGAGGCCCCTGACAACCCTAGGGTCGGGTGTGAAGGTTCTGCTGGGATCTGCTCTGGGTCTATGAGGGTTGAGAGTTTGGATTTCAGGGTCGGTTCTTGGAGGTGACTCTCAGCTTCGGATGCAGGCGAGATGCGGCTGCAGCTACACCTATGGAGTTCAAGGCTTAGGGTTTAGGCTTCAGGGTTGCAGCTACACCTATGAACCTTAAACCCTAAACCTGCATCAAGGGTTTAAGCCTTTCTTCGAAGCTTGCTGGAGCACTCAGACCCCATCGCCCGATCAGATCTTGTTGCTGGCTTCTTTGAAGACCTTTGTTCGAGGGTTCGGGGCCGTGGGTGGGGTTGAAAGAAGCTATGGAAAGAAGGTATCAGGGTCTATGAGGGTTGACACTTCAGGGTCGCAGCTACACCTATGAACCTTAAGCCCTAAACCTGCATCAGACGTTTAGGCTTTATAGGCTTTAGGGTTTAGGGTTTCGGGTTTAGGACGGCATCGTGAGGCCCCTGACAACCCTATAGGGTCGGGTGTGAAGGTTCTGCTGGGATCTGCTCTGGGTATATGAGGGTTGAGAGTTTGGATTTCAGGGTCGGTTCTTGGAGGTGACTCTCAGCTTCGGATGCAGGCGAGATGTAGACATCCAAACGCCCCGCGCACGCTTTTCCGGTCCCACGCAGGCGTGTGCGGAAGCGCAGATTCAAAAGCCTTGAAAGGACGTGCCATGCAAGCTTGATGGCAGTCACGAGCGATTGAAAACGGATCTTGCCGCCCGCTGCGGTGGCAAAACCCGGCCCCCACCCCTCGGGTTGTTTTCAACAGCAGGAAGGGGTGCAGCTACAGGATCAACTGGCACTGGCATGGGCCGATACTGCGGTCTCTGCTTCTTGCGCTTTCGCCTCCTGCCCTCAGGCCGCGTGGCTACAGACGATCCGTCTGACGCAGCTGATGATGCCCATCGACGTGGCACGTCCCTGTGGGCCGGTAACACTGGCTGTATCCAACTGTGCAGTTCTAGCTTCTGCTGCACTGCGTAACTGTGCGGACAATGGGCGCGTCTTCTGGCAAAAAAACAGCTGCAAGTTGTGGTGGCTTTCGCGTCCCCAAGAGCTGGCGTGTGAAGGACGACGCAGTGGCGCAGGAAGATATTGCGCAACTCCTCGCGGCAAAGCTTGTCGTGCCCTTCTTCGGTTTGAGCCAAGACCCGGGCTTCGCGAAGAAGTTCGCGAAGTCTGTCCAAGTGCCTCATCTGGAGCAGAGACCAAATCATGTCAGCATGAGGAAGCGCTTCCGGTTTGCCAGTCCGCATCATAAAGTATCGCCTGTCTCCACGGTTCTTCTCTATGATGTAGTCAGGGTGACGTGCCCAATCCTGGCCAGGCCCAAGACAAGCACGGTTTAGGATTCAATGCTTAGGGTTCACGGCTTAAATACAAGGTTTCAGGGTGGACAAGGTGGATGGGCTTCGCGGAATTTGCCTCCAGCAGCCGTTTGATCGTCGGCAACATCGTCACCTGTTGCCCTGGAACACGAACGGTATGGAGCAGCTTGCCTGAAACCATCCACTTGTCCGGCCGAGTCGGCCGCGAGGCCATGTTTCCCGGAGGACAAAACAAAGCATAAGCATTCTCCTCTGTCGTCCTCTCCGACGACCAAAGGTCTACGGTTTCTTTCACGCTTTCCAGCACCATGAGCAGTGTGCGTTGCGCAGCGTCTGTGAGGGCTCGTTTGAACTGTCTGTGCGACTGCTCAGTTGTTTGCCATGTGGGACAGTGACCTGACGCCAAGGGGCTGCTGAGGCCGTAGAACCATCTGGCAGTGAGAACTTCCTCTACACCGTAGATAGCGGGCTGTACTCGTGCAGTATATAAGTACTCTTTGATGAAGTAATCGGTGAATTCAGTTTCACGCCACCCCTCTCTCATGCGCTGCAACAAGCATTGCAGACAGACCAAGAATAAAGAAGTACTCGGCAGAAGCGCCACGAGGTGGAGGAGCGAAGCCAGGTACCCCTCCCTCTTGCTGCGCATCCGAGGCACTCTTCGCCATTCACATTCTTGATCTTGCTCTTGTAGAAATTCTTGATCATATGATCTATGTCAGGGACGTGCTTCGCAGATGGCGTGGCTGCCCTTATGGCAGCTGCCAAGCCTGTCGCGGCAGGTCTAGGAGGCTGGAACGGGTTTTATTAACGGAAAGATTAGTAGGGACTCACGCGCGCACCTATCGGAACTCAAAGCAATAGCTCCAACCTGGCTGCCAGTCCGTGTGGACTTGCGTCGCGCGTGGGACACCCAGACGCTGGAGTTCGGTATCCACACTTTCGAAAGCGCGCTGATAAATTTCTGGCCGCTCAGTCGGATGCCTTGCCTTACTTCTCCAATAACCATACGAGCTCAAGTGCCGCAGCCCTAAACCCTAAACGGACCTTCGCCTCAGAGTCTTTCAGCGCCGGCTGCACCGCCAAGTCACGCTGTGTGCCGCCCTCGGCTTCCGCTGGCTCCTTTGAAAGCTTCCGGGTTGCACAAGGGGTTCTATATAGGGTTTTATACGGTTCTGGATTCTATATGGCTTTATAGGGTTCTCTAAATTCTATATGTTTTTTTTGCAAGGGTTCTATCGAGATTTTTGCCAGAGTTCCACATGGGGGTCGAGGGCTTCGTTGGGGCGCAAACAGGAGAAGGTTTCGGCTCAGAGGGTCGGGGACTCGAACCCTGAACCCTAAACCCCAAACCCTAAACCCTAAACTTAGGGCTCAACGCTCGAGTCCGAGACGGGATCTGGGCTCGGAGTCTCCAGGCTCTATCGGGTGTTGTATACGAGATGTTAGGGTTTTGGGTTGGGGTTTTAGGGTTCGGGTATTGTATACGAAAGTTTAAGATTTAGGGTTTAGGGTTACGAAAACTTGCTTCTCCGGTTTCCTTCTAAAGGTTGACCTCTGGGATCACATAGGGATTAAAGCACCCACCCCCCGGAAAGTTACAGTCCCAAAGGGTCCAAGTACCAATCTGGGCCCCCAAAGTTACATGCATGATTAAGGGGGTGTTAAAGGTCACTTACTCGACTTCTATCAGCCCAAGGCACTTAAACTTGAAGCTAAGGGGCTGAATGCTGCACAGCCTGAGCCCATACATGCCCAAACCCCTCCAGAACATCCATCCCGATCCCAGCACACGAAACCTGAACAATAACCCGCTGCACAAACACGAAGAAGAGTCCCCAATTTCTGAAGCTGTAGAGCGCTTAGAACATCGGATCCGAGAGACGTAGAGCCCTAATAACCCCTTTATTGTGGCCCTTCCAAGTCGCACAACCATGGGTAGTTCTCTAAATTAGGGTCCCCTGTATAAGGTTGCCGTACTGTATTTGGGACCTAAAAAGGGCCTAAGTGATCCACGTAAACCCTAAACCCATCTCCAACTCTAAACCCGTAAAACCTAAACCCAAAACCCTGAGCTCGAACGGCCTCAGGTCGACGCACGTCGGGAGCATCTTCGACAGTGTCGGCTCCATCGCGAAGCTGGAGAAGGCTTCTTTAGGGTTTAGGGTTTAGAGTGGGGGTTATAGGCTTTGGGGTTTGGGGGTTTAGGGTTCAGGGTTGGTTTAGGGGTTAGGTTTTAGGGTTCCCCTATCGCCTTCTGCAGGGGCAACCCGATTTTGGGTTTAGGGTTGAGGGTTTCGTTTAAAGCCGTGAAGCCTTCTTTCGCCTTCTATCGCCTTCTACCGCCTTCTATCGCCTTCTATCGCCTTCTATCGCCTTCTGCAGGCGGCCTCCCCCTCCCCCCCCGTGCCCTCCCCAGGGTAGGGTTTAGGGTTTCGGGTTTGGGTATAGACTTGAAACTGTTACCTATCGCCTTCTGCAGGCGCAGCCAGCAGTTAGGGTTTAGGGATCTTCTCGGTATTAGGGTTTGCAGGGTGTCAGGCTTTAGGGTGAAGGTTGGGAAGGGGGGACGGAGCCTATCCGCCGGCCTCCCGCTCGCGCTGCCAGTCCGACCAGGTCTCGCGCGCCTGGTCCACGAGGGACAGCACCTCTTCCTGGACCAACGAAAGACACAATAACCGGCGCGAAAATGAAGGCAAGAGACTGCCTTGCGGCTGTTCAAGGAGAAATTGAACCGTGCCCGAAGACCGGCCATGACATCCTGCCGGGAAAAAAAAGGGTCCACGGACACCACTGCAGGAAAGCTGCCCGCCTGGCCTTTATCCGGCACTTGGCCGGAAGCAGCTCGGCCACAACCGTGAAAACAGCCTCATGCTATGGAGCAAATGAGCAAAGACCTCGCATCGAAATGGGCAACCCATCGCCTCCTGAAGCTCAGAGGAGGATAAACTGGATGCAGTTGCCTTGTGGCATGACCAAGGAACTGGTTACAGAAGCTAAAGCTGGCCTCACTTGCCGACGGCGCCTTGTGCTGCTTCGGCACTTTGCCCGCCGACTTCGCGCCCGACTTGGCCGCAGACTTGGCAGCCGCTTTGGCCTCCATGACTGGGCTGCCAAAGATCCGAACATGCACCGGAAACAGTGCAGCAATCTGAACATTAGAATTCCCCAGCGTTGGACTCGTAAGTAAGAAACAGAACAATTTGAGGCCTGCACGACGGCCTTCTGCCTTTTGCCCCTTTGCAAGCTGGCTTTCCCAAGGTCCTGCCAAAACAAGCAGTTGCAACAACAAGCAGTCCCGACAACCGGCCAAGAACGGACGGAGACAGTGGCTCCTTGCGCTTCCTGGTATCCTCCATAATTTTGGACAGCAGGTCCAGTGACAATCTGCGATAGTCCACCTCCTTTTCGCTGCGAAGCTGACCACGATACAGTCGCCCCATTTTCGGATCGTTCACAGCTGGGCAGTGCAGCTTGATATGATTTTCATCGTATCCGTTGTCCGTCCAAAACTTGAGCGGCCGCTCCAGGACCTCGCAAACTTTGCGGTGGCTGAGCTCGTGGTATGACGACAAGGACGTCAACAACATATCTCGCACATCGCTCCAGGGCATCGCCACACCAGTGCGAGCAGCTGCAACAGCCGCGAAAAAACCCTGCAAAGTCGCAGAGTCTACACCCAAAGCTTGGACCGCTACATCGTGGGCCGCGAGCTGCTTCATGAGAGTTCGACAACTTGAACAGTCCTTTCGGTCTCCACATGGCATCTCCGTAACGACACGAGAGCACCTCGAACAAGTGAACATCTTCGCACTCCCAGCAGCAGCACGCAGGCGACGCAGCAAGGTTGCCTCACAGGGGCTGTCATCAAAGAACCGCTAGGCAGTTTGTGTACACAGAAAAGATATGCCTTGTTGCCGGAGTCATCAAGGTCTCGCTCAACCAGCATCGCACGAAGCTGGCAAACCTGGACAGGGCTTTCCCCGCACGCGCCCCTACGCATTCACGACACAAAAGAGCCAGGGCTGCACTGCACATTCAAGCCACAAACGAGCCAGGGCTGCACTGCACACTTCCAGTGCCAAGTGGTCTCCAGAAGCCCTTCCCGGCTGTTCTCCAGCATCTTCTGTTTCCATCACGCTTGCCTCCGAGTACAGTGGTGCATGGCATGCTACGAAACCTACACCCTAGCCCCAATCCCTCAACCCCAAATCGCTAAACCAGTTCAACCCCCACAAGCCTCCTTACCTCAACCACCCCTGCCATGTATAAGTAAGTATCCTGCCTTAGACTGACCTAACGGATCCAAACGGTCACCAAACCAGTCCCCGCTTGCATGCGGGTAGCTGCTGACTGCATTGGCCGGAACTTGAGCAAGGTAACGCCCTCCACCTAACAGCAGATGCTCATGCGGACATTCCGTACGCTGATCCCAGCGCAGACCTGGGTGACGGTCAGCCGGTCTTTCATGGCTAGGTCATTGACCTGGGCGCAAGACCCGTCCACGTAACAGTTGTGCGCCGACCAACTAACATGGCGGTGGGCAGCTAGAAATGTGAGCATCCAGCGTGTTTCCGCAACTGGTCTTCATCCAGCCGGTTCTGCAAGAATCCCATGGCATCCTGCAGAAGATAATCATAGACCACCTAAACCTTGCAGTCTCCCCGACGACCTGGAAAGAGATGACGTTCTTCTGCGAAAGCATGTCCAGCACAGCCTTGCGGAAACGAGATGGGCGTGGTTTGTCACGCACAGGGTCCATTTCGAAAAGGTCCCGTATAGCATGTGACCTTACAAGGGGCCCCCTGTATGGCCCTTCTGAGCCCGATAAAGCCTAGGGGCCCAGCAAGAAACCGTGAAGGAGCGCGCAAACACACGGACATGCACACCCACAAACACACACCAGGGTCGAGAGTTTAGGGTTTTGGGTTTAAGGCTGCAGGGCGTGCACAGCAGCTAGGAAGGTGAATTTAAACACTTGTCCCCGAAACCCTCAACCCTAACCCCAAACCCAAAACCCTAACACCCAAGCGCCATGGTCCACCTCCCTCGCGTCGAAGGCGCCCCGCTCCGCGCCCGGCGCGTCCTCGCGTCCATGGCTAACACCGGGCGCGTCCTCATCCACATGGAGTTCATGGTTTAGTGTCCGTGGGCTTTGGGGTGTAAGGGTTCGTTTGGAACTGGCTTTTGAGGGGGTTTAGGGTTCTGGGGTTTCGAAATTCGGGGGCTTCAAGGCTATAATGGGTATAGGGTTTGGGGTTCAGGGTCTGGGAGTTTGTGGTTTGGGGGGTAGCCCCCCAAGCCTAAGCCCTGAATCCTAAACCCCATCCCTTGGACCTCTGGAGGCTTCTCTGCATCCTTGGGGGCCTCGGCATTCGTTGGCTTGGGCTCCTCCACCTGGGCTTTTGTGTTTTTTTCTGGGTTCAGGCTTTGAGGTTTAGGTCTACATAAGCCTTGAAGTGTAGGGTTTTGGGTTTGGGGCCTTTAGGGACCCCAAACCCTAAACCCTAAACCCCAAACCCTGCCTCATCCTTGGAGTCTGTCTCCTTTTCGCTGTATTCAAGCTCAACAGCCTGACAGCGTGGGCGGGCGGTGGGCGGACAGTGCAAGGCATGAGGGTTTAGGTCGACATAAGCCTTGAACT